ATTCCAATCAGCCTTGCTGTCAAGGGTAACTTTAAACTTCCTTGTGAAGTTTACCGTTTTGGTAATGCTGTCCCGTGGGATAAGAGCCATTGTTGTTTTATCACATAGGGCCTTCATTGCACCCGATGCACATTGAATAATTCCAATATACTGCTGGGTGCCAACCAGGCGATGTGATCCCTATTCGGACTTTGATTCTGCGTCTGCAGACTGCTGTCCAGTCTATTAGCAAGTGTTCTAGAGTTTCCGGCTCCATGTTGCAAAACCGGCAGTTTGCACAAGCTGGGTCCATGTTAAATTCTTGAGCTTACAATGGCAAGTGTAAAATGCGACAAGTAGCCGAAATTTGTTCCTCGGTGTTCCACTTGATTGTGCTATCCCTTAGCAGGACGATAGTGTAATCATTCCAATCAGCCTTGCTGTCAAGGGTAACTTTAAACTTCCTTGTGAAGTTTACCGTTTTGGTAATGCTGTCCCGTGGGATAAGAGTTATTGTTGTTTTATCACATAGGGCCTTCATTGCACCCGATGCGCATGTGCAGGCAAGTCGTTGCAGCTTCGATAGTAGAAGTCCTACCGAAGTCTGCGTTGCTTTAGAAGCCTAGGCCACCGCTCCATACGTAGTAATCGGTCTCACGACCATGGTGTCCTTCCACCTTATAATCCTCGGCTTGCAGCCCCAGGATATTCCGGCAAGTCGATTGCACACCATGAGTGCTTTTGTAGCTTTGACTATGGTCAAATCTACATTAAGCTTCCATCGCAGAGTGGAATACAGGATGAGCCCCAGATTTTCGACAACACCCTGCCGCCAAAGGTTAAGTTCCTGAGGCCGGGCAGGGAACTTCGTCTGGTGAACGGGGCGACGGTCCGTGCACATAACAAAGTTTCCTATGAAGCCGAGATGTTTTCTTTAAGACTATATGGTCTCCATTAGTCCTTGAGGCAAATAATTTCCTACCCTAGGGATCCGAAGGGTACTTAGAAATATACACACCCCACGTCACTGCAAACTGACAAGTCGTATGGATAAAACTGGAGTATATATGGTGCGATGAATATTGCTTCTTGAGTGGGAAGCAATTGTTTTGATGGATAGTTGTCTCCAAAATGATAAAAGATAATGTTACAAGAAAAATATCCTTCTCGCTTCTTCTCTATCGGGATGTTAATGTTCTCCATGTATACTGGCCCAAAGAGTGCTGACTGGACCGCAAGATTTTCGTCGATGATATAAAAATTCCAACAAGAAACAAAGCTATTATATATCTCTTCATCTGAATGGTGTTCTGGAAGTCAAACCAAACTCATTGCACAAGAGGAGTTCTGTTGTATTGAGTGACATTGAATCAGAATTACACTAAAATTACATTCAGACTTGTATGCGATTAGCCCCTGAACCATCTATTGGCATATCCACAGAAGAAACCACCTGATCTAACACAATGATCTGACCTCCGTCTAATCAGCTCCGTTCCTACAGCTAGACGAGGTCTTTCAACTCGGCAGTCCTTGGCCGGATAAAGATCGTAGTCCATTCCGGTTACGTACACCCAACTTGCGTGGTCACCGTTCGTTGCGAAAGTTTTTAACTGGCTAGTTTACGTGATTTTTAGCGAAATAAAGTCGGTTAGCACTACACTGGTCGACCGATGAACTGATTTTTATTTTTCTGCCGTTTTTTAACATTGTCTATAATTGGAGTAGTGTAAATGGTAGGGGATACATTTACTGACTATATATAGTAAGAGTGAACTCTAACTACTCAGATTTTCCTGGATGTTCTAGATCTATGTCCTGATGACTTTTCGCCTAAGGCTACGTTTATAGGTGGAGAGTTAATGAAAGTGTTGATCAATACTCTGAGAATAATGCCAAAACTTGTTTTGAGGACATCACGGATCCGAGCAATTTTATTGCTGTCTTTTTCGTATTTTCGTATATCTTTCTTCTTTTTTAAACCATTACCTAAGGTATGTATATAAAAAATTCGGAAATAAAATAGAATATATCTAGATCCTTGACGAGATTTTAAATATTATATATTGTAAGAGCTTTTTTGCGTGATCGTATTGAAAGTCCCAAGATCTGGTACTACTAAAGGAAGTGTCTTTAAAAAATTGCTGCAGGCCGTGGTAGTAGATAGGATCATTTGATGTACATAGATCTGTAGTAATGAACTGTCAAGCGTCCCTAGTGGAGATACCTGCGGTTCTGTAGTAGGACCACATACTCGATTTTTCACACCGGTTCATATCATTAACGTGTGGTTTGTGGACCAGATCACATCAAGGATTAAATAAATCTAACAATGAGTTCATAAAAACTGATATTATTTTTATTTGGGTATCAAAGAACCACCAACAATTTCCGAGTTGGCTGGTATATGAGTGTGGAAATATCCGCATAATGAATGAGAGGGACAAGTTTAAAAAAAAAAAAAAGTTTAGAGAAATTTTTGAGTTATCCACATAATCATACAATCTTTTTTCTACACATCTTATTACGGGTCTTTACACTATGTAATACTCTAAAGCAAGGGTAGATCTTTTAGTAAAAAAAATATATCTTGGTATATAAACAACTTTGGAACAATAAGATTACTCGTATAGTTTCTTAAACTCTTATTAGAGTATAACATTTATAATATTTCAAAATATATATTGGTAAGAACAGATCGTATATTCAATAAGCATTAGTAATCAAAAAACCCCTTTATCGAAAAGAAAAAAACAGTTGTAACCCACCATATAAAACATAGGTAATGAATTGTTGTCTTTAAATATATCATCGTAGTACAATTTTTTCATAAAGTATTATATTAAAAGATAATTATACTTACCATAAAATTGATGAAAATTAGAATTAGTATTAAAACACTTTTTGAAGTCTACTACACCACATAACAAGTATTTATGCTATTTGAAAATAAATTTCAAAGGAAGTCTATGAGTACACAATATATGTATCTTTTTATAGTTGTATACATTTAAAAAAATGGCTTGGATATGATCAAATGTTTTTTTTCTTGAAACATATTTCCTAAGGTTAAACTGATTATAAGAGCTTGATCACTTTTTATTATAAATATTTTTATATTTATCAAACTCTCGAAGATCATAAAGGATTACACAAGACATGCAAAAAAAAAACTAAAACTATTAAAAACCGATACAATATATTAAAATAATAATAAGGATAATTACATATACTGATGCCAAAAATAGATTGTAAAATATTATATAGAGATCGGATCCTCCAACAAACAACCCAATCCTTTCAAGAAACTTAAAAATATAAAATTTTGTAAAACATATGCTCGGTTTTAAAAAATATGGGTGCATAATTGCAAATAAGGGTTTTTTAATTGAATGACTGATGAATAGAAATAATTGCATATAAACTTTCCTTTAAAAAAGAGCAAATCCTCACTAGAAATGACCGATTAGACAATTTTGGAACTGAATTCCTTTTAAAATAACATGGCATTTTAAGAATATTCTAATATTATTTTTTTAAATATGTTTAGAATACTAAAAAATCATTAGTTTATGAAATTTGCAAAGAGGTTGTATATGCAAAAGCCTTATAAGATTATCATTGTCTGAAGAGGATTACTTAAAACCAATGTTTATACTCACTAAAACTAAAACCCAGACTTTACAAAAAATTTTCACAAGGTTTCGCCAATTACGTAACACATGGAAATTCTTTAAAACTGAATTTATATGTGAAATAAACGGTGTTTTACACCATTCTGTAGATAATTTACTTGCAGATCGTCCAGATTCTCTAAATTTAAACTAAAATAGCAAAAATGGGTCCCCAATGAAAATTGTAAATTTTGGTCTCATCGGAAACGCAGATCTTTCTAGAACACATAGAGATCAAGAAAACGGTGAAACAATATTATTTAGTTTAAAAAAAATGCATTTTTATAAAAATGCCCGCGTATTTCAGTCTTTAATACACCTTTTGCCAAAGGAGCCCCAATTGAGACTCCAAAGAAATCATTTGAATTGTAGCCACACCCTAATCGCGGAAACACCATCTTCATTTTCAATATAAAATTTACACTTTCTTTTAACACAATTTATTAAAAATATCATAATATTTACATTTTTATGCGGTCAAATATACTATTTTCTGAACTTATTTCAATAAGGCACTCACCTGGCTCATGATATTTTTGTCTCAGCAAGCACCTTTTTCTTAAAGAAGACATTAAACATACACTATTTATTTTTTTAATTATCTGATTTTTTCAAAATTTTTCACTTTAAATCTGATAATTGCAAATTGAAAATTTTTTCTCCAACGCAGCACAAAAATTCACGTCGTCCTCGTCTCCCATTCACAAGTCATTTGTCGAAAATCGCCATTTTGTCTTTTCGTAATTGCACTCAGTGTTGCCAATTATTCGGAGCAAGTGTCGAACTTCGAATTTTCAGCCCGGATCGAAGGGAGATATTCTGCAGCAGCTCACGTCGATATATGGAAAAGAAAACTGAGGCAAATTTTCATGTTCGTTTGAAAATGCTTCCAACTTATGTTTGTGTGACATCCACAGTTGTCAAAAATGCACATCCCATTAAGTTTGATAATTTTGTAACTTAATTCTCACTTCCAATCTTTTAAATGTTTAGATTTTGTACGGATAACCATAATAATTATGCGCCAGCTTTTGTCGCTTGTCTTCGTACACGAGTAGCCATTTTGAATAATCTTCAAAGATATACTTCGAAAAATTATTGTTCAATGGAAAAACACTTGATATAACAGAGTTGCAAATATATAGTTTAATAATAATATTAGCTACTACGTATATATTCATTATTTAATTGTTCGAAAATTTTTGTAAGATTTTTCACCGTAGGGAAATGATAACATGGCATGCCATTAAATTAATCATTATTTAAAAATAATCCAATTGTTTTCACATTCAACCATTCTTTAAAAACTTTTCAACACATACTTTTGGTTTTATATACGATATAAAGAATACATTTCTCCAAAATAGACTAAAAAATCATATTTTCTAAAGCAATGTTTATATAACCACATCACAATGGATTACAACAGTTTAGCTCCGTTACTTGTTTATAAGAGGGTAGAGTTTTTATAAAAGTCCGATAGTTTGATGTGTCTTAAGTTGAAATGATGGCAGTGGAAAACATTAAAAATAGCATCAGAGGTGTTATTTGTAACATTATTGAAATAAATTTGAAGAATGCTGCCGAGTTAACCGTTCTTGGTCCGTAGATCCGACTTTCGTGGGAACGGATACAATTTTTGATCTAAGTATTCGAATTTTTATACATTACTGAATGAATGGAAATACTGGCAACGTTGTTGTATGCCGCCAATATAAAAACAAAGTTATTCAAATCCTAAGTAAAATGGTAAATATGAATTAAAATAATCCAGTAGAAAAAATAATTAAGTACATAAATATTTCATTCGAAGCGACGTAGCTTGGCTCCTAGCCAAAATCGATCTGTTAAACTACGTCCAAGTTGTGATTTTACGCCGCCCCTTCAAAATAAAAGAATTCGTAGTTGTAAAGAGCAGCTTGATCGAACACAAAAACAAATTACACGGATTGTACCATTAAGTGAATATGAGCTCGCTATTGCTAAAGTGCTTTCGCGTCCATTCAAAGTTCCTATTGCTGATTTTGTGCCAGATTACAATGGAGGTAACCGATGTCTCGGCATGCGGCGTAGCAATGCGCGAAAAGCATTACACGACCCACAAGCATGTAATGTTTTAGTCCTGTATACACCACCAAACTATACAGAGCATGAACGTGTCACAATGGATTCGAACAAAATTCAGGTGCATGTCGTTGTTGATCCCCTATTGAGCAATATTCTGAGGCCACATCAACGTGAGGGAGTACGTTTTATGTATGAATGCGTAGAAGGCTATCGGGGAACATTCAATGGTTGTATAATGGCCGATGAAATGGGGTTGGGTAAAACCTTACAATGCGTTACGTTGGTTTGGACGTTACTGCGGCAAGGTCCCTATTGTAAACCTACTATTTCTAAGACAATTGTCGTATCTCCGTCCTCATTGGTGAAAAATTGGGAAAAAGAGTTTAATAAATGGTTACACGGACGCTTGCATTGTCTTGCAATTGAAGGTGGTTCAAAAGAAGATACCATACGCGCTCTGGAACAATTCATAGTTGATAGTGGTCAACGCTGTGGTACCCCAGTACTTTTGATAAGTTATGAGACGTTTCGTATCTATGCACATATACTGTGTAGAAACGAAATGGGTATGGTTATTTGTGATGAAGGGCATCGCTTGAAGAATAGTGACAATTTAACTTATCAAGCGCTAATGGGATTAAAGACGAAACGACGAGTTTTGCTTTCAGGAACACCAATACAAAACGACCTTACAGAATATTTCAGTTTAGTTAATTTTGTAAATCCAGAAATGTTGGGCTCAGCCGCCGATTTCAAAAGAAATTTCGAAAATCCTATATTACGTGGTCAAAATGCAGATTCCACAGATAAAGAGCGTGAACGAGCTGTAGAGAAAACACAAGAACTAATTCGCCTGGTGAATACATGTATTATACGACGCACCAATCAGATACTTACAAAATATTTACCAGTTAAGTTTGAAATGGTAATCTGTGCTAAACTAACTGATACGCAAATGAATTTGTATAGAAATTTTATAAAGTCTGACAAAATCAGAAGAAGCTTAGCCGGTATGTATTTCTATTATGAGTTTAAACATATTTTTCTATATAATATATTTGCTCTTTTCTGACATCTAGATTGCAATGAAAAGGCTACATTAACGGCGCTCGCTGATATTACTACCTTGAAAAAGCTATGCAGTCATCCGGATCTTATTTATGAAAAAGTTTTGGCACGCGAAAACGGATTTGAAAACTCACATGATTTGTTTCCCGCAAATTATAACCCCAAGTAAATAACTTAAAGTATAAAATTTATTGTCTGTGTATGGTTAACATGGTGATTTTTATTATACCCTTAACAGAGTACCCTATATTAAGCTGGCCACCAAGAAGGGTATTAAAGTTTTGGTGCACCCAAAGTTAACGCGTTTTTCTTATGCTTTTTTTTAATGTTATTTTGAAATTAAATGATAATGGACCCATTACTCATAATTTAAAAATTTTAATATTCTTGTAACTAAATACAACTTGCCCTATTCTTGCTTTCAGAGAATTCAGTCCTGAGATGAGTGGCAAGTTTATGCTGCTTGACTTCATGTTGGCTTCAATACGTACTAATAGTGATGACAAAGTGGTGCTTATATCGAATTATACGCAAACGTTGGAATTATTTGAGAAACTAGCACGAAAAAGGTAAAACTTGTACAACCACATATACATATTACTAAAACTGTTATTTTATATAATTCAATGGTTTTGATAGAAAATACAGCTATGTCCGGCTCGATGGTTCTATGACAATAAAGAAGCGCAGCAAAGTGGTGGATAAATTTAATGATCCTGAATCTGACTGTTTTCTCTTCATGTTGAGTTCGAAAGCTGGTGGTTGTGGCTTGAATTTAATCGGTGCTAATCGCCTCTTCATGTTCGATCCCGATTGGAACCCCGCAAACGATGAGCAGGCAATGGCTCGGGTTTGGCGTGATGGTCAAAAAAAGCCATGCTATATATATCGTTTGGTAGCCGTAAGTTGTTCTAAATTAATATTTTATATTTCATAATATTTGCTAAGATTCACCTTTATTCGTAGACTGGCTCGATTGAAGAGAAAATTTTGCAACGTCAGACTCATAAAAAATCATTATCTAGCACAATAATTGATAATAATGAAAGCAATGAGAAACATTTCACACGTGAAGATCTTAAGGATCTTTTCCGTTACGAAGCTGATATCTTGTCCGATACGCATATTAAGTAAGTAGAAGGATTTCTGATTAAATATTGTTAAAATTCATTAACATCTTTTTATATTTGTTAAACGATAGATTAAAGTGTAAACGTTGTGTCAATAATATACAAATGCAACCGCCGCCTGAAGATAGCGACTGCACTGTACATTTATCACAATGGTATCACTGTTCCAACAACAAAGGACTGCCAGACAGTATTTTATCACAGGCATGGCTCTCAAGTAAATGCGTCTCCTTTGTCTTCCATCATCGGTCGCAAGGTGAGGTAAAAATTAAAGATTGCTTGGAAAAGGAAAATATATCGGATCATTGCAAAAATGCCAAAAACAATAGCAATCATGACGAGTGTGAGGATACTGATTCTGACTATGAACCGGATGACCCAACTGATTTTGATTACTCGTAGGCTGTTTAAAATCTGTTTTCCAATTTCAAGGCGGAAAAGGTGTAGAAAGTTATGTGTATAGTTTTTGGTAAGACAGTGTTCACACGTGGACTCTTTTGGCGGTCAAAATGTTTTTTTTTTTTTGCTGGCGAAGGACCGTGCAGTGCCGCTTGTGTTTGTTTTTGTAGCGGTTATCTATCATGCTCGGGTAGTACGCTTTGTGTTCTAGTTTGTAACAGTTCGCGGCACCGCATACATGAAGCGTACAGGAATTTGAGAATGTGATATGAAAGAAAGAAATTTGTTCACGTGTGATCTCAGTCTAATGTATGTCAAATACATGGTGTTAATACTGCAAAACAATGAAGCGAGTGAGTAAAGAAATAAATGAACTAGCTTTAGTATTAAACAGAAATGAAAAAAAAGTTATTAAAATTTGCAACAATGTTATCGCACATAATTTAATATCCCAAAATAAAGCAGTTTTCAATGTAATTACAAATTCCAAAATGAAGTGTTTTTGGATTATGTATATATTCAAATATCATATAATGAATTAGTTAGTACGGTACACATATAGTGCTCTTGTAACTGTAAATGAGTTTTTACTGGTTTATTAAAAAAAAAATATTTTTAAGTTAATGCATTTAATTTATTTTCACTGTGTTACTGCAAATTATTATAATTTATTAAATTTACTTAAAACGCATATTTTAATAAAATTATATGCATATATATTTATGTTTTATAATTGAACGAGTTGCATTAATACAATATTTAGTTTACTTTTAAAGCTATGCGTCATAATGAGGGAACCACCTAAGCACTCATCCACAAATTTTTTAAGTATATCAAAAGTATGGTAAATCACTCACATGAAAAACATGGAATTATAGTACATATTAAGTTATAGTGCATTTAAATGTGTCATTTCTCATACTCAGGATATAATTAAGTAAACATCCAAAACCCTTAACCGCATTAGATATTGACGAGGCTAAACATCCTGTATTTCATGCCACACATTACTTTTTTCAGGTGGTTTCTCCAATGGCGCTGTTGAAATACTTTGACATTCGACTAGGAATTGATGAATACCCTGATAGTAGCTGAAAAAGAAGCAAATAATGTAAATTGAGTGTAAAAAACGGTGTAAATTGTATGGTGCATACTATAAGCCGAAATGTAATAGCGTTTTTTTTTTGTTTTTTTGTTGAACATTTCCGAAAGATGTTTGCAATATACGGCAAACATTTTTAGTAATTCTTCTATACACGAGCGTAATATTTTTTCGGTTTTTATATCAATATGCACCACACTTTGTAATTTGCTATACCCGTCCATTATCCAGGTATCATTGTGAGCGCCTCCTATGAATTCGAGTATGCGTTTTTGTTCACTTCCGCACTTCATATATAAAGTGCGCATCATACGTGGAGGTACAAGGTTGTCTGCCAAACCTGATATAAATAAAAATGGTACTGAACATTTTCCAATTTTCCATGAAGATAAATACTGAAATGCATAGGAAGCATGTAAATATTACACTATACTAATAGTTATTTGACTCGCTTACTTTATTTTTAAAGCAACATCTTGGTATTAGATTGGCGGATGGATGAACCAACTCAACGGCCATTTCTGGTATGCTGGTAAATGTGTTTTCTACAATTGCACACATAATTTTTTGACTATATACCGTATCAGCGGCTACATCAATGACCACAGCACCACCTAATGAACGACCGAATAATACTATCTTTGTCTGATCTAAATCGTTGCGTGTATACAAGTAATCTATTACAGCGCGAGCATCTGTTGATAGTCCCTTTTCGGAGGGGACCCCAGTTGAAAAGCCATAACCACGATAATCTATCATTAATATGTTACAGTGTAGATGATTAAATATCCCCCAAACATTTTGCATACGATGACCCATATTTCCAGCATTTCCATGAAAATAAACAAATGTTGGCACCGCCTTTGAACGTTCCTTTGGCTGAGACACCCAAAATGCGTGCAATGTGACTTTATCTGGTGTGTGGATACTGACTGACTCATGTGGCAGATTATGCATTTTCGGTATAGGTACATAAATGCGAGAATTTGCGGGCAGATCAGGATGATATAAGAGCATGTCTTGCAAGTAATAGAAACCAACTGGGAAGCGATATCTAAATTATTTGATTAATTTAAGTTACAGTTTGTATACTTACAAGACGTAATAGTAAAAAGTAAAACGACAGTTAAAAGACTTCCATAGTAGTAATAAAATAATAAGAAGGCCAAGAGTACAGCTACGGATACGGCATATATGCTGCGTGACCTGGGCAAGGCAATTGGCACGCCGCCGAATTCTTGCGACATTGGATGTCCGTTTGCAGCTAGTGTGTTTTAGTAGCTACCGTGGGAAAAACTCAGATTGCAGTGGGTGGAGAGTCATCAAACAAAAGGACACTTTTTAGCGAGCACCCAACAACATTTCGGTGTTTCTCGATGTAAACACTAAAAAGTAGTAATATGTTATATACATTGTTACATGATATTAAATGTTTTACACTCTTATGAAATTTGTTTGTTTCGGTATTATTAAAGTTTTGGTAATATTCTTCAACAAACTAGAATTCAGGATTACTTCTATTTACAACAAATTACAGCTGATTTCGTTCCTTCACATTGCTATCGATATTTTCGATTTATGCATTTACTTCGTAGATTTATTCTAAATACTGTTTCACATCACTAACACTTGTCTTTATTAGGGCCTAACGGATTACCAGCAATGTAAAGTCAGTAGAATTCTGAACATGTAGTAATCCTTCCGTCATGTATGACATACATATTTCATGCTAGTTGTTCAATGAGTAATACGGGCGGATAACGAGGCGATAATGAATTTCTCATAAACGTTTATTAGAATAACATATTTAATTATATTAAATTTATACAATAAATTATTCCAAAATTGAATTGAAGGTATTTCCCTAGCTTTGATCCTGGCAAGTTACATCCGAACTTAGCTCTTCCTTATTTGTTTACAAAATCTTTAACTAAAATATTTAAAAGTTATAAATTTCATTTAAAAACCACTCGAGAAATCTAAATATCGAAACTATGGCAACTCTGTATAAAACTGACAGGTTTCGGTGATTGTTTATTAGAAAAGTGCATCTCCTTGATATAAATTTGTTAAAGAATATACATTTGGAGACATATAATTGCAATGGATAAGACAGAAACATTAGATGCTTCAAACAGTTTAGCTGATAAAATTGCAACTAAAAATGCCAGCACTAATTCTCTGGATACAGCTGATTCAAAGTCTAGTTCAATTGGTTCGAAGCAGGGAGTAGACGTAGGTGCGACCCGCGACACGCCCTTTGTTTATCTCGATGGCGAGGAAGACCAGGATCAAAAAAATGATGTTACATATGTTTGTCCATTTAGGGGTCCAGCATTTGGTGCTTTAACAATTACCAATTATCGCTTATATTTTCGTTCTTTACCATTGCGGGACCATGATCCACCTGTTGTTGTTGACGTGCCATTGGGTGTAATAGCTCGAGTGGAAAAAATTGGAGGTGCAACATCTCGTGGTGAAAACTCATATGGAATTGAAATATTCTGTAAGGATATGCGTAATTTACGTTTTGCACATAAACAACAAAATCACTCACGACGTACCGTATTTGAGAAGTTACAGTCCTATGCTTTCCCACTGTCGTTTAGTGGTAGGCTGTTTGCGTTTGCTCATGCTGCAGCATCTGGACCATCACCGCCACCAGCGGAAAATGGTTGGGCTGTCTATGAACCATTAGCAGAATTACGTCGTATGGGTGTACCAAATGATATGTGGCGCATAACAAAATTGAACGAAGCATACAGTGTTTGCGATAGTTATCCAGTCGTTTGGGCTGTTCCTAAAGCAGCGTCTGATGAATTTTTGCGCCGTGTAGCTCAATTTCGTTCACGTTGCCGTTTACCGGTACTATCTTGGATACATCCACGCTCACAAGCAACAATAACCCGATGTTCACAACCACTGGTCGGGGTGGGTGGCAAGCGTAGCGCAGATGACGAACTTTACCTTAGTTATATTATGGAGGCAAACGTACAATCAGATAAATTGGCAATCATAGATGCACGTCCTAGTGCCAATGCCATAGCTAATAAAGCTAAAGGTGGTGGCTATGAGTCGGAGGAAGCATATAAGAATGTGGAAATCCATTTTCTCGATATACACAACATACATGTGATGCGTGAAAGTTTACGAAAAGTAAAAGAGGCGTGTTATCCAACAATAGACGATTCTAAATGGCTTTCAGCGATTGATGGCACATTGTGGTTGAAGCACATTAAATGCATATTAGCTGGAGCAGTGCGTATTGTTGACAAAGTAGAGACAATGAGTACATCGGTAGTCGTGCATTGTTCCGATGGTTGGGACAGAACTGCTCAGCTGACAGCACTATCTATGTTATTGTTGGATCCATATTATCGCACTTTGCGCGGCTTTGAGGTATTGATTGAGAAAGAATGGCTCTCTTTTGGCCACAAATTTCAACAACGAATAGGTCATGGTGATAACCGACATTCGGATGCGGATCGTTCTCCGGTTTTCTTGCAATTCATTGATTGTGTTTGGCAAGTTAGTCAACAATTTCCAAACGCTTTTGAATTCAATGAACACTTTCTGATAACTATCATAGATCATTTGTATTCGTGCCGCTTTGGCACTTTCTTGTACAACACAGAAGCTGAGCGTGTTGCGGAAGGTTAGTTAAAAAAGAAAAAAGACAATATATCACAATATAAACACAGAAAGAAATAACACAAATTTGAATAAAAATTTCTAATGTATTTTATCACAGATATTAAACACAAGACGGTTTCACTTTGGACATATATTAATGGCTCGCTGAATCAGTATTTAAATCCGTTAGCTTTTTCGCACGGAGCTCAAACTGTACTGCGTCCAATTGCGAGTATGCGTTACGTAAAATTATGGAAAGGTCTCTATTGTCGTTGGAATCCAAGCATACGACCACAAAATCGTATATACCATCGTACACGTGAATTGCTCGCTTTACAGGATCAGCTCATTAAGCAAGTGAGCGATTTACGTATGAAAACAAATTCACGTCAAACGGCGCAAACTTCGACGCGACTGGCTTCACCAATGCATTGAAGCATCTTGAGCATAAAACATATATCATCTATTATAAAAGTATTTGTATTATATCCATGTAATAGTTCCATATATTTTTTACAGAATTTTTATGTACCTAGGTATATACATATACATCAGACATCCACGTGTATGCATATGAAATTTGAATATGATAAGTGCGCTTTGTCACTTCTTTAATTTTGTATAATCTTAAAGCTTTAAATTATGTAAAATATTAATAATTTATAATGCATTCTTAATATACATACATATATACAGCTTCATAAATAATACATTTTTAGGCATGAAATTAATAACACTTTAATCATTCAATTCTGAAACAAAATATGTTTTGACAAATGTCAAATCATTTAAAACGGGGTTTATTCTCGAAAGCGACAAATTTCGCATAGAAATCCCTTTCTTGGATATCTCGGGGAGATAAACCCTTTTTCGTCTTCTTCACAGTTCTAATATGTTTGAAGGTGACCTTGAACAAGTTTATTTTGGATTATTGCATGTCCCAGCAGTTATTTTTGATTGGCGCAGAATAGGTTCTGAAATCATATTAAAATCTTTTAACTAAAATGCAAAAGGAAGACTGTTATGTTTTAGAAGAATAGAATAGATTAATTTTGAGGTATGCACCGCGACCTAAGGTCTATTGTGCCCTCCCCTAAGTCATAACGACTCATCAAGCCCCAGCATGTAGATAAACTCCAATATATGCTGGGTGCTAGAGTGGCGATACAATCCCTGTTTGGAAACATGGATCCCAGGGCCTTGATTCTGCGTCTGCACACTGCTGTGCAGTTCATGCGCAGATGTTCTGGGGTTTCCGGCTCCATGTCAGAACCGGCAGTTTGCAGATGACTAAGCCCATGTTGAAGAGATGCTTCTTAAGCCTGCAATGGCCGGTGTAGAATGCTACTAGCAGCCGGAATTTGTTCCTAGGAAGATCTCGGCTTGGAAGATGCTCGGAAAACTTCCCATAGGAATGGAGAGTTTGGTGCTTGGCCCAGCGACCCCTGCACCAATCCCCTCCGTCGTTTTCGAACCGTCGGTGTACAACTTGATAGTGATTTCCCTTAGCACCAGGTCCAGTGATGCATCATTCCATTTCGCCTTACTGCCAAGGGTATCTTTGAACTTCTTAGTGAAGCGTACTATTTTGGTAATACTGTCCCTTGGGAGAAGGGCCAGTGGCATTTCCTCAGTTAGCGCCTTCATCTGCTGGGATGAGACTACCTTCCCTTTGCCAACTCCCTCTGCTGTCATTCGGAGTAGAGTCTGTTTGACTGTCTGTTTGATTACCATATGCAGCGGTGTCATTTCTAGCATGACTTCCAGTGCTGCGGTCGGACACGTACGCATCGCGCCCGACGCGCTGATGCAGACAAGTCTTTGCATCTTCGACAGTTTAAGTCATACCGAAGTCTGCGATGCCTTAGAAACCCAGGATACCGCTCCATACGTGATAATCGGTCTTACGATCATGGTGTACATTCATCTGATAGTCCTTGGGGAGAACCCCCAGGATTTCCCAGCAAGTTGGTTGCACACCATTAGTGCTTTGGTAGCCTTGGTTAGGGTAAAGTCCACATGCTGCTTCCATCTTAGAGTGGAATCTAACGAGAGGCCCAGGTACTTAACCGTGCTGGCCATCTCCACCACTCTACCGTAAAGGGATAGACTTCTGAGGCCAGGCAGTGACCTCCGTCTAGTAAGAGGGAACGACTGTAGTTTTAGAGGGGTTCATGTTCAAACCAACCCCACTACACCATCCCTTTGCCAGCCCTAGTCCCCTCTCTACGATATCACAGAGTGTGTCTACGAATTTACCCCTAGCTAAGATAACAATGTCATCCGTATATCCCTGGCAGCGGATTCCATTGCTCGTTAGCAGCTCAAGGAGATCGTCTACAACAAGACTCCACAGTAGGGGGGATAGTACTCCTCCCTGTGGGCAGCCTCTTGTTGTGCCAAGACGAATTGTGCTATCTCCTACGGAGGTTTCTGCGTACCGGTGCTGCCACACTCATTTTCTCCAGTGCCATTGTCACGCTTTCGTGAGATGTGTTGTCAAAGGCGCCTTCGATATCAAGGAAGGCGCATAACATCACCTCGCCCCCATCTAATGAACTTTGAATCTCCGAGGTTAGCTGATACAGGGCAGTATTTTTTGATCTGCCTGCCCTGTAAGCATGCTGCTTCGCATGAAGCGGCGAAGCCTTCAGCACCTTTGATCGTATTTCGTGGTTTATGATCTTTTCCATACTCTTAAGCAGGAAGGAAGTAAGACTTATTGGCCTGAAGGGTTTTGCCAATGTGTAGTCTTTCCTTCCTACTTTGGGTATGAAGATTACCTTTGCGGTGCGCCATGGTTCTGGGATATATGCCAGCGCTAGACTATCCCTCATCAGCCGAACAAGGTGGGGCAGTAGTACCTGCTCCCCCTGTTGCAGAAATGCTGGAAGGATGCCATTCACACCCGGACACGCTTTCACAGAACTTCCTGAAGCTCTTCTGCTTTGCTGTCCTAATCTCCTTATTGTAAGCTGTTAGGCTGCACCTATAGTCCTCTCAGTTTCCGATGCGCTTAGCCTTATTAAACAGCTTGCGTACCGTTCTTCTTAATTTCGCGAGTCTACTAGACCACCAGGGGAGTCACGGCTCTTGGTGTTGGATTTGTTTAGAGCAGACAATCTGCTTTCCAACCCAGAAGCCGTTGCACTCCTATCCAGCTGCCCCCCGCTACTAACATTTGTTTCAAGCGAGTCCCTAAAAGTGGCCCAGTCCGTGTTCTTAGGGATACGCTTGGGAGGGAGTTGTTTGACCATAATCCCCAGTGCGAATCTTATGATTCGGTGATCTGACATGGAGGGTTCCGACGACACTATCCATTGTGAGATCAGCCCTTTCATAGATTCGTTACCTAGAGTGATGTCCAGCACCTTCCTTCTAACACTAGTTACAAAGGTGGGTTCGCACCCCACGTTTGCAATACTTAAATTCTTACTAGCTATGAATTCCATGTGTTGCAGTCTGTGTTGCCCCATTTCACAATATTTAATAAATTTTAAGCTAGAAACACTATAGCGCATGAAATACGACAAACTAAATAAAAAAATTCTATTTCAAATTATTTATTTTAAACAACCGTTCAAATAAAATAAATAAGAAGCAATGCATATATGTATATTCATAGCAAAGTTGCGAATTTTTAAATAAAAAAATTCTGGAATAAAAATTAGATTATCATTTTTTAGTCCCAATTTTGGGATCTTGTTAGAAAAACAAAAATCATTATAAGTTATAAATGGGTAGTAGTAATGACCTGATTTGATTAATTTTTGCCAATACCACATAATACTAGCATGACACAGACTATTAAAATATACCCAGCTTTTCATTAAGGCACCTCACATACCATCACCAATTATATAGAATAAAGTCAGTCGGATGTTCGCAAATACTAATATTAGTTATATGAGTGCTAAGTTAAGTTTTCACTTAATTTTATCTATTTTAAACACAAAGATACACTATTATGATTAAAACACGATCTCTAATTTTCATTAAGATAACTCACATATTGGCCGATATCATTTTTGTCAACCGATTCAACCCATTTTTGACATACAGACATACTATTATCAGAAAAGGATCCTCTTTGAATTTCAATTATCTATCTCACACATTGACCGATATTTGCGCTAAAAAGTCAACTAGATGTACTGCGTTCACATATTCAGTACCTAGGGGCTTGCACAGTTTTGGTGCGATTTTCGACAATTTTTGGTATACTTTAAAGGCATTATTGGTGCAAAGTTTTATCCCGATATAATCATTGGTGTTTGATTTTCATACTGGAAAATGAAAGAATCGTATGAAATTTAAAATTGTGCCATATGCGGAGTAGACGTGGTTGTAGTCAAATTTCGCATTGTAACATAGGAATATTAGGTGAATGTCACATACATTAAATCTATTAGAGGGCGGGACTATGGCCACTTTCTGAAGATTTTTATACGCTGAACAGGGTATATAAAGTTTGCCACGAAGTTTGTAACACCCAGAAGGTAACGTCGAAGACCCTATAAAATATTTACATAAATGATCAGCTGAGTTGATTTAGTCATGTCCGTCTGTTTGTATATATACGAACTAGTCCCTTAGTTTTTAAGCTATCGATCTGAAATTTTGCACCTGTCCTTTCCACATTAAGAAGCTGTTTATTTGTAATAACTGCCGATATCGGACCACTATAGCATATACCGGCCATACAATCGTTATCAAGTGCTTTTATGGGAAACTTTTTTATTTGACGTAATATCTTAACGAAATTTGTTATAAGTTATTTCCTAAGGCAACAATGTAATCTTCGAAGAAATTGTTTAGATCGGATCACTAAAGCATATAGCTGCCATATTAATTGAACGATCGGAGAAAAGTGTTTGCATAGAAAACTTTTTGATTTGGCGAGGTATCTTCACGAATTAGGCAATTAATTATTGTTTAACGCAACACTGTAATCTTCGAAGAAATTGTTTAGATCAGAGCACTATATCAAATAGCTGCCATACTAACTGAACGATCGGAATTAAGTTTTTGTGTGGAAAACTCTTTTATTTGACGAGGTACCTTCACAAAACTTGGCATAGATTATTATTTAAAGCAATAATGCAATCTCCGAAAAAATTGTATATATCGGATAACTATAGCATATAGCTGCCATACAAACTGAACGATCGGAATTAAATTCTCGTTTGTGAAGGGTATTTTGGCTTCAGTGCAACCGAATTTAACGTTTTTTCTTGTTCAAACTGCAGATGCCCTCTCTAATATGATTCGATATATTAAATAATAGTCTTGTATTTTATTGTGGAGCGTGGCTTGGCAGTGGTCCGATTACGCGCTTCTACGAACTCGTCCACATTTTTTTGTTGGAGAATTTAAACTAAATGTGAACAAAATCTAAAGATAGCGGCATAAAACAATTTACAAAATTAATTTAAAAAAAAAAATTGAAATTTTTAATTAATTTTCGTTCAAAATCATTTTTTTCTGGTTCTGGGTTTATTCCCCCTTGAATGAACAAGGACAGACATTTGATAGAGTTGGAATATTGTTGAGGAGACCCGTTTTTTTGCATGGTCAACTTTATGTTGCAGCCAGTAGGGCTAGATCATTTGACGGGTTAAAATTTTATGTC